CCATGTTGTTCATAATGAAAATGGGCATCTTTCCTCTTCTTCCTTCAGAGTCAGCCTATATGTTGGGTTAATAGTGTGGATTAAAAAACAAAAAAGCATAGGTGTGTGGGTGGATGTTATTAAGACCATAGCACATGAAGGGAGCTCTTATTCATCCCTCTCCTGTTGTAATTTAAATGAAAAGCACCACATCCAGCATATGCTGTACTTGCTCTTAGTAAAAAGCTCCCATTGGTGCCAATGGGAGCTTTCCCCCTTAAAGTCTTAACTGCATTGTGTATGGAAAATTTCAGTAGGAATCCATTCGGGAAAAGAAAATCTAAACCTCCTGTCCCTGCATGCTAAAGTCCCAATGAAAATTAGGAGCTAACAACTCAAAGGAGGTTGCCATGTGACTGATGATTCAGTCACATCTACACCATACATTTAAAACACGTGGCTTCCCCCAAAGAATCCCAGGAGCTTCAGTTTTGTTAAAGATGCTAGAAATTGTAGTTTTGTGAGGGGTTAACTGTGGTTGCCATGATTCTTTTAGGGGAGCCATGCGCTTTAAATAGTGCTTCAAATGCACGGTGTCAATGTGCAGCCTGTGAACCATTACCCATCTCCAGCCAAAGGTATATCTCTAAGTACAGGATCTGTTCAACTGTCTGAAGTCCTCCCATTATACAGTTGCAGTAGCTCAGGTGTGGGTTAAGTCCTCCATATGTTGCTGAACTACAATTCCCACCAACTCTGACCATTGGCCACCCATGCTCGGGCTGATGGGAGTTGTAGTGCAGCAACATCTGGAGGACCAAAGACTTTACAAATCCTGTGTGAGCCAGTTCAACTTTATGAGTCTATGAAATTGGAGTGTCTTCCTTTTAGAATGTGGACTTTGGACCTATACAGGAATGAATGAGCTAGCTGGATAATGGGATGCCAACTGGTGGGGCAGGGAGGGTGTGTGGCCTCACCTTCATCAGTTCTTTTAAGAGGTATGCAGAATCCAGCAACTAGTGCTTTAAAAATATCCATGAAAGGATGGCATTTCAATATTAAACATTTAATATAGTGAGTGCACGGCACCTACGTAAGTCATAATAAATGTGTTACTCTTTAAGGTGCCACAAGATTCTTTGTTCCTTAAAAAATGTTACCACCTGTTAATTGCCGAAGGTAAAACTGCTGTTAAAAGCTGCAGAGGGGTCTGGTTCAAAAGCTGACAGCCCTGTGTGGATGTACCGTAGTTGAAATAATGCTGAAAGATAAGGAGGACAAGCAAGCAAGATTTAGGGCCAAACCAGATGTTAAAGGGGGCCTTGCATTTAATGTGCCTTTTTTTTTTTTTTTGTAAATGCAAATACATCAGCTAGCAGAAAGTGATAATTAAGGAGATCAGGGCAGGCATTCCTTCTCCCTGCTACTGTCTTGAGGAAATTCTCTCTTCGAAGGGGGTAGTTGCATTGCTAGGAACTCCCCCATTTCCACCAATTGGGTATTACCGGTACCTTCCAAAGCAAATACCAGCTTCAGAAGGAAATTCTTCAGGATTGATGCACAGGAGGAAGTGGTCCATGCATACTCTGGCCCTGTTAATTATCAGTTGCCTCCGAACTGTTGCAATCTGCGTTTTGCAAAATCCCACATGTTTTCAAGTCTAGTTTGGGTCCTTCTAGAGCCGAATGAAACCAGTTTAGCTTGAAAACAAGGTTGACATATAGCACCACCATGTGGCATCTGACAACATTAAAGCAGTAATATAAGGTCTTGTTCACTCAACCTACTGTGTCGGCATAGCTGGTTATATAGCATCAGCCCTAAAGGTCCAGATGCTGGAGCAAAAGCCACACAAGTAGTATCCTCACATCCATGGTAGGAACTGCACTGTAGCGACCGTCACCATCCAGTCTCTTTTCAAATGGTGCAGCAATAAAATGCCTAGCACATTTGCAAAGCTAAGCAGGGTCCAGCATGGTTTCAAACTGGATGGAGGACCACATGTTGAGATTCCAGAATTGCAGGGGGTTAAACTAGATAATCCTCAGAGTCCCTTCCAGCTCTGTAATTCTATGATTCTATGATCATTGCTATTCCAGCATACACACAACCTGTTCTATCAAAGCATACCTGTCCGGCACAAGGGCTCCTGCTGACAAGGCTGATATCCCTCTTCTTGCCTAAGAAGTAACATAAGAAAAGCCCCACTGGATCAGGCCAAAGGCTCATCTAGGCCAGCACCATGTTCTTGCAATGGCCTGTGATGTCCATTAAGGCAAATGAGTCACTCTCCCACCAACCCAATTCTTCAAAGCCCACCAGCCTTCTTACTTGCAAGCTACAGGGTCCAGAAATGAGAGGGGAAATGTGACTCGAATGTGTGTTGAAAGTATTGTGTGTACAATACTTGGTCTATAGGGCTCTTAAGAGTTCATGTAGGGGTTATTCCCAGCCCTACCAGGAGATTCCAGGATTGAACCTGAGGCCTTCTGCAGGGAAGGTGGTGCTCTATCACAGAGCTATGCCTCTTCCCTCCTCCCCAGACTTCTATCCGGCAGCATTTCTTTCCATCGTCAAAAGGGAAACTCCTATGAGGATATGTGCAAGGTTCAGATATGGATGCAGATCCTTCCTGAAGCAAGGTTCCCCCTTTGCATGTTACAAAGAAGCACCACCAGCTGCATGCTCCTGTCACTGACCTCTTATGCCCAAAACTCCTCTTAGTTGCTGTAAATGACTGTTTAAGGAGGTGGGAGTGGTTATACGGAGAGTTTAAAGTGCTATTTTTGTGACTTGCTAGTTTTGCAATGCAAACAAGGGCTTGTCTGCTCTCGTGTTGGTTAGAGGGTTGGGCTTGGCCCAGGGGGTTTTAAAAAAGGGGGGTAAAGGACCCCTGGACCAGGGGTCAGCAAACCTTTTCAGTAGCGGGCTGGTCCACTGTCCCTCAGGGCTTGTGGGGGGCTGGACTATATTTTTTGGGGGGAGAAAGAATTCCTATGTTCCACAAATAACCCAGAGATGCATTTTATATAAAAGGACACATTCTACTCATGTAAAACAAGCTGGTTCCCGGACCGTCTGCGGGCCAGATTTAGAAGGCTATTGGGCCAGATCCAGCCCCCAGGCCTTAGTGTGCCTACCCATGCACCTGGACGGTTAAGTCCAGTCAAAGGCAACTATGGTGTTGCTGCGCTCATCTCGCTTTCAGGCCGAGGGAGCTGGCGTTTGTCCACAGACAACTTTCCGGCTCATGTGGCCAGCATGACTAAACCGCTTCTGGTGCAACAGAACACCGTGACGGAAACCAGAGCGCATGGAAACGCTGTTTACCTTCCTGCCACAGCAGTACCTATTTGTTTGCACTGGTATGCTTTTGAACTGCTAGGTTGGCAGGAGCTGGGACAGAGCAATGGGAGCTCACTCTGTCAAGGGGATTCGAACTGCCAACCTTCCCATCAGCAAGTCCAAGAAGCACCCAGGTTCAAATGCCGACACAGCCATGAAGCTCAGTGGGTAACCTTGGGCCAATCATCGTTGTGCATGCTAATCTACTCTACAAGGTTGTGGTGAGGGCAACAGAAAAAGAAGAACCCCGTAAGAACCTTTGAGCAAGGGTGGAATAATCATACAATAAATAAATGGGAAATGTACATTGAGCAGCTTAATGGTGTAAATTGCACAAAAGAAGTGCACAGTTGATTTACACCTCATGTGTGAAAACTTTTGTTGCAGTACTGCAATCAAAGCAGAGGTATAGGATACCTATTATAGATTTCAGTTGATTTAGTGTGGAGTGGGGAAATCTTTCATAATGCTTGCTTATGTTTAAATTCAGTGATCGCTGATATGGGAAGTTAGATACATCTTTAAATGGGTTTCATGGGTACACTAAGAAGAACAAACTTGAGGAAAGCTTGGTGTGAGTTCAGCTGCCTGTTCTCTAATTACTGTGCTTGCTAGCTTCTCATGTGGCATAATACTAGAGACTTTAAAAAACCTAAACCTCTTGAGACAGACTGTATTATGCTATGAATCTGGTTGCTACATCTCTCACAAGTTACTGTGGGAGTCATCTGATAGCAACACAGTAATTTCACCCAAATACAGTGTGATATTACTTTACTTGCAAATCCTCTTTCTAATTTGGTGCCAATCATCATTTGCTGGCCTCAAGTCCCTCTAAATGATCATAACTTGTGATGACTGAGTTTAGACTACCACTAAAATATTTAAACAAGCCTTTAGATCAGAGGCGCTGTCTTAGGTTTCTGCAGGAGCAGGGCAAAGGGATTTCAGTAGGGGAGGAAGGATTTGCAGCAAGGATCAAAGGCCTGCCCTTGGATCTATTTATTTCAAGTGCAAAAGGGGGACAGGAGAGTATTTTAGGACGTTTCTGTATTGAAGGCTTGAGATGTGAATATGTATAAAATAAACCATAATTATTTGGAGGGGCTAATTATTATTACTTCCATGCAAGCAACATTTCTGAAGATTTTTGAACTGTAATAGTTAATGACCCACTTGTGCCTATGAGGATTTTAGTACATGCTGGCTGTTGCTGAATATTAATAACAAAAAGCTCCCATATAATAATGCCTGTTAGATAAAGTGATATTTAATGAGATACATACAGTAAGAAGCAAATTAAATGCATAAACCATTGTAGACACACAAGCCACAGTAATTCTTGATGTGTTATATGCACTAGGATGCTCAGAGATCTTAATATTTGGGTTTGTGATTATAATATACCATTAAACTCTACCATTAAGGCAACAGACCTGTACACACTTACTGGGGATACAGTTCAGTGGACTTTACTTCTGAGTAAACATGCTTAAGAGGGTGCAGTTAATTGGAGGAAAGATCTGTTGAAATAAATAGATCCTCTAAATCAATACTGTTATAATTTAGATGTTCTTACAATAGTCTGTTCCCTGTGTTATTGATCTCCCCTTTCTCCTTCTTTTAGGAGCTTTGCAAAACAATTGTGTATATGTCTGTGTGTATATGTCTTGGCAAGCCTTGCCAAGTTTCTGTGGGACTTACTCTCAGGCACATGTGGAGTATAGCCTTAAACATCTCCTACGGCCATCCCAGCTAAGACTGAAGAATGGTTTACGTGAATCTGAAAGCTTGCATATGTTTTCAGGTTTCTAGTGAGTTAATAGTTTAGGGAGCATAAAAAAGAAAAGAAAAAACGTGCAGATGCATAATGTGATATCTCAAGGGGCTGGGGGAATATACGCTGGAGAAGAGTTGCTGTCCTTCAAAGTTTCTTTAAGACTCATAACAGAATGGATTTGTATTGCTATAAAGCTGCTGTAGTTCATGATCCTTGTTATACATGTAATAATGATAAGAAAGCCAGCTGTCTGCATAGTGGCACTTTTGATCACCTTGATGATAGAGATCAAAATCTCCCTCTTTCCCAGGAAAGCAAGCCAGAGAAAGCCTTTGCAAAGCTATGGCACCAAACTGATAGGTCAGTTTCCTTCGGATTTTGATTATTTCTCCTGTTCTTCCGTAATTCCTCAGAGCTCTGGCCATTTTCTGGTAGGTCATGATCTTCCGGTTTCCCTTGCGTTCCCCCCACAGTTCTGCCAATTTCTCCTTGTGTTTGGAAACAAACTGGAAGACACCATTGGGCTTATCTAACCACTGGATGCAGTTTGCCAGGTCTGGATTATGGAGAGATTCGTGAAGATATTCAAACAGGCGTAGCTTCTTCCTGCCTATCAGGAAGTTTAAAAAAATAATAATAATTAAACAGGTCCAATACCTTGCCCCAAAATGGGATATTGGAGACTGGCTGATCCAACATGGTGGGATTCAAGGGAGGCTTTTTCAATAGAGGTCTTATAACTGCCTCCTTCAGGCATGCTAGAACCATGCCTTGCTGGAAGAAGGCACTGACCGCTCCCGTCATCCACTTAGCCCGTCCCCCACTGGCCCTTTTGATGAGCCAGGAAGGACAAGGATCTAGCATTCTTGGGCTGTACAAATTGAAAAGTATCCATTAACACTGGACAAGCAGAGGCCAGTTACATCCACCAGATCTGTATCAACTATAGCATCCAAGTCAGAATGGATCCAAGTGATTTTGTCAGCGAAGTGCAGAACGACTTGTTCACAGTGGTCCATTGAGTGGTCTAAATTCTCCTCACGATGGCCAAATTGTAAAATACCCCTGACCCCAGATCTCATTGGATATCAGGATTTGACACCTACCTTTCCTTTCCATTCTGAACAGAGGAGAGGTGAAAATAGCTTCTCTGTGTGAGTGAGCACAGCGGTAGCTGATATAAGTGCCTTCCACCACCCATAAAATTGATGGGGCATGCCCATATAATTTTGGGAAGCTCTCTTTCTGCTATTTTAGATACCCATTTAGATGTGGCAGACATAATGCCATGCCTCTTCAGCAACCATTTTATGTTATGCCACATCCCCATGGCAGCCATTTTGTGTTATGTCATGCTCCCACAGCTGCCATTTTGTGACTGGTGCCCAAGGTAAAAAGGTAAAGGTACCCCTGCCCGTACGGGCCAGTCTTGCCAGACTCCGGGGTTGTGCGCCCATCTCACTCTAGAGGCCGGGAGCCAGCGCTGTCCGCAGACACTTCCGGGTCACGTGGCCAGCGTGACGAAGCTACTCTGGCGAGCCAGAGCCGCACACGAAAAGCGCCGTTTACCTTCCCGCTAGTAAGCGGTCCCTATTTATCTACTTGCACCCGAGGGTGCTTTCAAACTGCTAGGTTGGCAGGCGCTGGGACCGAATGACGGGAGCGCACCCTGCCGCGGGGATTCGAACCGCCGACCATACGATCGGCAAGTCCTAGGCGCTGAGGTTTTACCCACAGCGCCACCCGCGTCCCCCGGTGCCCATGGTGTTTAGTCCAAATGCCAGATGTGGCCACTCGCTCCAAAAGTTGATGAACCCTGATCCAGAATGCACACGTGTAATTGCCAGAATGTTCACAAACCTTTCCTGCCTTTTTGCTGCAAAGGTATGACATACATCTCTGGATTTTCTGGAACGGTCTGCAGAGTATGGTACTCAGTTGCACCCAGATAAAAATCTGCCTCTGTATTCTTAAAGAAATGGACAATAATAGTGTGAGGAGACATGAAACGGAGTGAAGTTATTTATCTGCTCTCTAGAATTCCACAGTGACCCAAGCTTTCTTCAAGTGAAAGAGCAAAGGTCTGTGAAGCTACGCTTTTGACCTTGCCACTGATGATGAAGGGCTTTGGCTAATCCCACAGTGGCTATCTGTCATGGGAGTAGCTGGGGGGGGCAGGGAAGGGCAGCTACTCCCCCTAAATCAATAAAAATAAAAATACATAGCAAACTGAGGTTCTACCCCCACCCCACCCCAGCAAAAGGTCTGCCCCCCTAACAAAAATCCTGGCTATGCCCATGCTGTGACTCTGAGGTGAGGAGGACTTCACACATAGACTTCTATGCATGCAGCTTTCCCAAAGCTCTGAAACCCTGATCATGCAGGACCCCAGGCTCTAGGGAAGTCTACACACGTAGAGGTCTACATGCAAAGACTTCCCCACCTCAGAGTTTTATGCTAAAGTGAAGGTGGTAGGAGCAGGGCAGGGGAAACAAGTCAGGGATGAGACTTGAGACTCTCTCAAAGCCACACATCCTCCCTGGGTCCCACTTATTAAGTAGTGAGTTGACAAAGCAGATGACAGAGATTTCTCCAAGTACAGTGGTACCTTGGGTTACATATGCTTCAGGTTACATACGCTTCAGGTTACAGACTCTGCTAACCCAGAAATGGTGCCTCGGGTTAAGAACTTTGCTTCAGGATGAGAACAGAAATCGTGCTCCGGCGGCGCGGCGGCAGCAGGAGGCCCCATTAGCTAAAATGGTGCTTCAGGTTAAGAACAGTTTCAGGTTAAGAACGGACCTCCGGAACAAATTAAGTACTTAACCCGAGGTACCACTGTAGTTCTTTATAAGTAAGCTGGAACTGAACTGAACTGAACACAGCTCAGCCAGCCTGCTTTTATAGGCAGCCAGCTGTCAACACTGTAACAACAACAGCCCAGGGTTTCCTGCCTAAATTAACTGACGTGGACCTGAGTGAAAACTATATGCACAATACCCCCTGGTGGCCAGGGTGAGAACTTCAGTACATAACACCACACATCAGTGGTCCTGTTCTGCACTAACCTCCTGCTTTTGCTCAACTGGAAAGCATCCTTGAACTCTTGCTTGTCTGGATAGAGAGATGTGGGTTGTGTACGTGTAGAAACTTTTGATTTTGTGTGACTGGAATATAGCCTACTGAACAAAGGTGGGGCATAGGCATTGCTTGTTACCTCTGGCCCCACTCGCTATAAGCATGTGGCCCCCAGAAGGGAAATATGGCCCTTGGGCTGAAACAGGCTTCCCACCTCTGATGTCAAGAATGCAATAGAATAGAATGCATTTTACTTACTAGTAAAGTTGGTGTTTCACTCCAGCTATATATTGGTTTATCTGATAGGTAACTTGGATTTGCTTGGAGAGAATGGTGATGGTAAGTCAGACAGTTTTTAAAGTCTTCTTGAGGGAAATAAACAGAACATGTCAGCGAGAGGTAAAGAATAAGTGTAAATGCTCATTCATTTACAATATTTATTTGCTGCCCAATAGCAATATGCTGGGAGGATTACAGTTAAAGGCTAAATTACAAGTATAAGCAGTAAAATGCTAAGCAGAGAATACAAACAGTTTAAAACTAAGAGTATAAAAGAAAATAATCTCCACATGGAGGATAATGCCTGAATAGGGCTGTCCAAAACTCTACTCTACTGGAGAGCTCACTCTGAGATGTGTCTCATTTTACACAACACAGCCCAAATCCAAGTCCAATACCCCATACAAGTTGCATGACCCATGCAAGATCATGGACCCAGAAATAACATTTTTGGGGTGCAAAGTGCCTGATCTTTTTTTTCTGGGTTAAGATCTTGGCCCAAAATCACGCAAGAGCGAGGCACCCAAAATGGCCACCATACTCTCATGGGGGGAAATGGGATGTCACAGTTTTTCCAGGGCAGTTGATGGGTATGCCTTACTGTATCGGACTAGGAAGGCCTAGGTTCAGATTTTCACTCAGCCACAAAGCTGAATAGAGCTGAGCTGTTGTGCAGATTAAAATGGGAAGGAATAAGTATGCCAGCCTGAGGTCTTTCAAGGAACGACCAGGATGTGTGTGGAAATGAAACTACAAATAATTAGATTTAAAACACATTATACTCCTGCAATTGTTTGCTGGATTCTTTGTCCATAATGTAATTTACCGTAATTTTTTTATGCTGAACACATCAGATTTGGGGGACAGGTGGGGAAACAGACAGTGCATCTTTTTCATGTATATTCTGACATTCGGAAATAATTGGAACTTACACATAATCAGAACCTGGGACTCTGGGCTTATTTGGGAAGAACAGCAGGATAAAGATGTAACAAATAAAATAAAACAAAGCTGGAATATAACTAGTATTGCTTTTTTACCTGGCGCATAATTACAGTCACCATAGGAATGTTGCTGCAACACCTCCAAGGCATCTTCAAGGGCTTGTCCCAGCAAGTCTTGGTCTGTAAAGCTCTGTGACAAACATATAACTGAAAATGTGCAAGATGCAGCTTTGTATACACCACTTCATTATACGGTATATATATTTCCAAAATATCTATTTGGGAGTTGCCAGACTTGCTCTGAAATTGGGGGGGGGGGAGGCATTTTACAGAATGACTAAAAGGCTGCTGCCCAAATTAGGAGAGAAATTGGCAGGATAATTTGCAGTTCACCAGGCACAGCTATCTAGAGACATGCAACCGTTGCATTCACTGTGATGAGTTTCCGAGAGAAGATTTGATTAGGGCTGGGCGGTATATTGGTATATCATACAAAACCGGGTTGAAGTCCATAACGTGACAATGCTTTCATAATTTTTGACCTGGTAATATATCGCGAATCATGATGAGTCTATGTGTGTTATGCAAAACTCACAATGTGGGTGAAACCATGAAGCCAGCCAATGCTTCTCTTGATTCCTGCAGCCCCCATTAACTCTGCCAGCTCATCTCTCCCCTGCCTCCTTCAGGGGGCAGTGAATCACAAGAGCAGGCGCTGGCAAAAACCACAATGAGAGAAAAACCATGAAGCCAGCCGACTGCCTATTAAACTACAGAATGGCGGACAAAGTTTATATCTTCACCACATTTCGGTAATTTTCGTAAGCGTACACTGTTCTGCATCTGGCAGGTCTCCAGCTGAAGAATGACTAAGCATTGACAGCAATTAAAGTGACTTCATAAAGAATTCCTTGGAAAAATTGGAAAGCTTTTCTCAAAGAAAGGAACCAATGGCTTGCAAACTTACCATTTCTTTTTTTTAAAAAAAGCAAATATCAGATCTTCAAGCCTGTGTGAAAGCAAAACAGCTTTATTTAGAGCTGGAGTTACTGTTCAAAATTCAAAATGACATTGAGGTATAATTTCTCTTCCATAATTGATGGCAGATTCCACCCCTATTACCAATTTAGTTTATTTACTTATGCACTTTCCCCCATTTATTTACGGCACAGACTTAAACTGCTTTTTAGTTCCTCTTCCCAGAAAGCTCTGGGAATTGTAGTTCTGTGAGAGTGCTAAGTGTCTCCTAACAATTTCCAGTACTCTTAACATGCTACAGTTCCCAGGATTCTTTGGGGGGAACCATGACTGTTAAAGTGATATAAACTCAAAAGGAGAGTTTTATTCTTTATTGAAAAACTAATCCTATTTCATTGCAAGTATGATATCAGTGAACTATGTAAATGCTTTATGGATTTCCTGAATTATATTAGAGAAAACTATTTTGCAAAAATGTAAATATTAGGCAAAAATGCATATACAAATGTGTTTACGAGGAGAAATACACAAAAAAAAGCTTACAAATTTTCATGAAGACTTAATTGGTTTTTTAAAAAAGCTGTTGTAGAAATGTGGCGAACTGAATTTAAGAGTTGAAAAATAAGAAACTGAGAGAAACCAAAATTCACATATTTGCTCATCTCTACTGATGGGAGGAATATACATTTTTTAAAATAAAACAAATAATGATGTTTTACTGGAGTGTACATAATCACACCCAAAAGACTATGGAAAGACAAAATGAAAGAAAGGAAGGAAGGAAGGAAGGAAGGAAGGAAGTTTAAAATTACTGGTGAATTTAGATTTCACTAGCCACAATTATTGTGACTCTGCAATTTGCCACGCACAGTAAAAAAATGAAAACACTGGGGTATTTAAAAACAGGTTGTGACACATCCAGCTGTGTCACAGAGACAGCCCTGGACTAGATACAAAGGAAGCCTTGGCTTCTGCTCAGTGCATGGGGTGGAGAATTTGCCAAAAACTGTTGTTCTTCTTGCTGGACAACAAGCTGATCATCTGTCAAAATTCTTTTCTCGCTGACTGTCAATCAAAAAGGTAAAAGAAATGTGCCAGCCTCCTCCTGTGCCTTTATTAGTGATTTTATGAACAGGAATGAGCAAGTGAAGCTTTGTAAGGCTTGTAGCTAATATCCGCAGATCAAGCTGTTGTTAAAGGTGACTGTTGGTTAAAAGCAAGCCTTTAGGGCACAGGAGCCCCTGTCCCACTTCACACCTGGTCACATTGCAATCAGCTGAAGTCACTGGCTTTAGAAAGGCATTACGGTACTTTTTCAGAGAGCTGGTGGTTCAGAAGAAGAGTTGCATACCCTTCAATATTAATCTGATGAAAATAGGGACGTCCCATTCCATAATGATAATTTTGCTATTTATACCCTACACATCTTACTGGGTTGCCCCAGCCACTCTGGGAGGCTTCCAACGTATATAAAAACATAATAAAACATTAAACATTAACAAAAAAAACTCTTCCTTATACACGATTGCCTTCAGATAGCTTGGGGGTTGGAAAACTCCATACCCTCCAACATTTCTCCAATGAAAATAGGGATATCCTAAGGAAAAGTGGAGGGACGCGGGAAGGTAAACGGCATTTCCGTGTGCTGCTCTGGTTCTCCAGAAGCAGCTTAGTCATGCCGGTCACATGACCCGGAAGCTGTACACCGGCTCCCTCAGCCAGTAAAGCGAGATGAGCACCGCAACCCCAGAGTCAGTCACGACTGGACCTAATGGTCAGGGGTTCCTTTACCTTTAAGGAAAAGTGGGACATTCTGGGATCAAATCAGAAATCAGGACAACTTCTCTAAATGAGGGACGTCCCAAGAAAATAGGGACACTTGGAGGGTCTTGAGTTGCCGTTCATCATCCTGGGCATCAGTTATATGTGGGCAGCTGCTGGTGTCCACACAGCCCTGTAGGGTGCACTGGAGCATATGCCCAACTTCCACCCATCCTTGCTGCCATGGGACCCCTTTCTTGGCATTAAGAAAATAATAACAGCAGAGGTGCTGCTGCTCATAGCCGCCACTTAGAATAATAGAATCATAGAATTGTAGAGTTGGAAGAGACCACAAGGATCATTTTGTACAACCCCCTGCAATGCAGGAATCTTTTGCCCAACGTGAGGCTTGAACTCACAACCCTGAGCTTAAGAGTTTCATGCTCTACCAGCTGAGCTATCCCCAAGTTATCTTGGCCCACCCAACCACATTCTGGCTGCTTGCCACACACATCGCACCCTTCCCACCCTTGGATGTCCTCACTCAACAGCAGTACTTTTGAATGGGAGCCAAGTGACAGTAGGCGATAAAAGAGCTAAAATCTTTCAGCACTTATTCTGGAAACACTTACCTAGGAAACGGCGCTGACTCAAACTCCACAGGAACTGCCTTATAGGCAACATAGAAGAAAATTAACTCCACATAGGGGCTGTGTTTAAATAACCCATTTTGGGGAAGTACTGTAATTGGGGATTTCTCTTTAAAACAAAAGATGCGGCACACTTCAGCCTTAGCTTTAAAAAAAGCGTTTTTGCCGCCTTTTCATGAACAAAGGGGAAAGGCAGAAAGAAGAAGGAAGTTTCTTAATGCTAGGGCAAGCATGAAGGTGGACCCGAAGTTAGCTATTCTGTTGGAAAGAAATGGAATCAATGCTTTGAAGAGAAGAAGAGTTTGGATTTGATATTCCGCTTTATCACTACCCGAAGGAGTCTCAAAGCGGCTAACATTCTCCTTTCCCTTCCTCCCCCACAACAAACACTCTGTGAGGTGAGTGGGGCTGAGAGACTTCAGAGAAGTGTGACTAGCCAAAGGTCACCCAGCAGATGCATGTGGAGGAGTGGAGACGCGAACCCAGTTCCCCAGATTACGAATCTACCGCTCTTAACCACTACACCACACTGGCTCTGAAATGGAAGAGGATTTAGGCAGTAGAGGCTGGTTCATTAGGACAACTGGGGCATTGCCCCGCCAAGCTCTGTCTGCCCTCAACCAACCCCCTATTCCTGCCCCCTTGCTTACAACCAACCAACCAACCAACCAACCAACCAACCAACTGCAAAGCGAGAGAGAGCTTTTGAATTAGAGGGCTAAATGCGAAAGAGGACAGCTTTAACAGTTGGTAGTTCCACCAACCTGAGAAGTTCTGGGTGGTACTGGCCCAGGAGAAAGCATTATCTGTGGCAGCTCCCCAGTTGCGGAATTCCCTCCACACACAGCTTCATCTGGCACCTTCACTATACAGTTTTCTGTGAATGCTTGAAGGTGCAACTCTTTAAGCCTTGGACACTTGAGATATATATATTTCTTGTGACTTCAATTTCTTTTAAACTTTTTTAATGTGTTTTAAATTCATGGAGTTGTAGAACTGGAAGGGACTTGGAGGGTCATCTAGTCCAATTCCCTGCAATGCCCTGGGACCTTAAGGTAAAGAGTGGGCAATGAAATAAAATTAAAATAATGTAGAAGAGAGAATGTATCCCTTGTCATTTTTTCTGTATCCCTGTGTATGCTTGCAGATATGTGTGTGTGTCTATATGTACACACAAACACATATCTTCCTATATACATATAAATGTAAGACTGTTGTCATGCTCTGTAGTTTGCGGCAATGGCAACTCCAGTATGATGAACGGCCGGCAAGAGAGCATGGAAGAGCGGTGGTGCCAGGCGGCCCAGGCAGGAACAGGGTCAAAGGCGCTTCTCAGAGCAGTTGAGCAAGCTGTTCTGAGAAGCACACGTCTTTATTTGAGCATGTGAACTTGAGCACTTAGCCATGTACCGAACAGCTGAACATCAGAAATGAGAAATCTATAACTAAAAGGGGTGTTGGGAGGAAGAGAACAGAGAGAAGGGAGGGGGAATAAGAGAAGGTCCTGTTTTATTGTGGAAACCCTAATAGGCAATAGAGAGAGAGAATGCTTTTTCCTGTTTCCCACCCTCAAAGTCTAGGCCTGTGTGAGCCACATACTTCAAGCACCAAAAATAGTTAAACGGAAGGAGTTTTGAAAATGTGAGGCATGATGACTCGGCATGGGATTTGGAACCAAAGCTGACTGAGCAGTAAATTTCCTATCAATCTGCCATTCTCCTTTGTAAGTTGTTCAACCGAACTTAACAAGCTGGTTCTGTCTAGTGTAAGAAGCATGCTTAAGACCAAATGAAGTGCTTTTAATTCTTGTTGAATTCTACACCCAATGAAACTCATGTTTAAGCTGTCTTTGGAAATCAATGGAGATTAAAATGGCTCATCTTTGGCCGGATTACGGACAGTGTTTTGAAAGCCTTGCAATGGCTGAAGAAACAGAAGGCCTTCTGATATGACTACAGTGGTACCTCTGGTTACGTACTTAATTCGTTCCGGAGGTCCGTTCTTAACCTGAAACTGTTCTTAACCTGAAGCACCACTTTAGCTAATGGGGTCTCCTGCTGCTACCGCACCGCCAGAGCACGATTTCTGTTCTCATCCTGAAGCAAAGTTCTTAACCCGAGGTACTATTTCTGGGTTAGCGGAGTCTGTAACCTGAAGCGTCTGTAACCTGAAGCGTATGTAACCCGAGGTACCACTGTATTTGGTAGCCATTGAGGGAGGTGGGGCATTTTGTGTCTGGACTCTTGTATAATATATAACTGATTGTATAGTTCTGGTGCTAAACTCTCCCCCCCCCCCAAATTTTCTCTGCTGGTTAAAAAAGTTTTATGCAGCCGTTTATTTGTTTTGTTCCTGTAATGTAATGTTGCCTTCTAATTATTCTATTTCTTGTGACCTAAACAGGGAGCATACGTTATTT